GTCCTCTCGCCTTGTTTGACCAGTCAGTGGCAAAAGAGCAAGCATTTCGTCCATGAATGTGTCGCCATTAAAAAACCGAGCCCATGTCATGAGTTGCGGCGTATCCAACACATCGGTGGACTCGTCAATGGCCGGCTAAAGTGCTGCATTTTCTTAAGCTCGTCGATCAATTTTATCAACAAATCATCAAAAATGTTTTCCACGCATCTGCTGATGGTTGAATCTGAAAATTGCAGTTTTGATGTCTGCCGATTGATCTCAGCTTTGTTTATAAACTCAGCAAAAAGGGATTCACTGCATTCGAGAAAGCACTTTTTAATCAGCTCTCCCTCAGTGAAAGGCCGCTGACTCCTTGCTACATTCCATGCTACTTTGAATGATGCTTCTATGATTCTGTCACTTTCTTTACAGCTGAATCTCATAACAGGTTGTTGACCACGAAGATTTCTGATTCGATTGTATATTCTGTCTTTCTTAAATTGCTGCCTGGTGGATAGTCAACTTTGAAGTCTTTGTGACAGCTGTCGTAGTGGCACTGGAGATTTGCACGTTTTGGTATGGACTGTTTCTGGCAAAGAAGGCACACTGGCTTGTTATTTACCTCCACAAAGGCAAATTATTCCTCCCATGACTGCTGGAATGTCCTGTGTTCATCATACAACTTGCGTTTAACTTTCCCGATGGCCGCCATGAATGCTACTTTGATGAGTCTTCTTTTGATTTTTATTTTTTTTTGGTGGTTAGCAAACAACCTAGTGGCGCATTACCGCCACCAACTGGTATAGTCCTAAAATTGCAACACTTACCTGCCTCTTGTCAGTAGGTCAAACATATTGCCCTCTGGTGTCAGCATGTCAGAAACTATTTGTCCTCATTAAAAGTAGGGAAAAAAAATTTGCTGCATACTGTAAGCCGCGGGCCGCACCATTACAGCGTGCGGGCCGCATGCAGCCCATGGGCTGCGGGTTGAGTGGCGCAGAACGAAAATGACCTTGGTGTTTGGGGGATTTTTCCTCCAATACCTTCACTATTTCAAAAGCTCTTTTTTTGTCTCGATGTTGGCATCAGCCGCTAGCTAAAGCCTTATGTCTCTCTTTTTCTGGAGCTGCCCAGGTTGAGAGGCACCAGGCAGGTGTGGGGATACTCACAAGCACCTGGCTGAGTGTCGCTGTGTTGAAGTTCTTCCTGGAAAACCAGGGTCACCTCTCTGCTACTATGTGCTACAGAGGGAAAATTTCTTACTGTTGTCTTTGCTTAGGGCTGCAAGGTGGCACAGTTGGTCAGCACTGTTGCCTCGCAGCAAGAAGGTCGCCGGTTCGTGTCCCGGTGAGGACACAGGAATCTTTCTGTGTGAAGTTTGTATGTTCTCCCCGTGCGTTCTCTCTCAGTGTGGGTTCTCTCCGGGTTCTCCGGCTTCCACCCACAAGTCCAAAAACATGTTGAGGTTAATTGGTGATTGTAAATTGTCCGTAGGTGTGAATGTGAGTGTGCTTGGTTGTCTGTCTCTAAGTGTAGCCCTGTGATAGACTGGTTACCTGTCCAGGTGAACCTGCCTTCACCCTAAGTCAGCTGGGATAGGCTCCAGCCCCCCCACGACCCTAATGAGGATTAAGCGGTGTATAGATAATGGATGGATGGATGTCTTTGCTTATGCACTAAAGTCATGGCTCAGAGTATCCGGCATTCTTGTAGTCTCTGGATGGGGTCCCAGACCACCTGAGAACTCTAAAGTGGGGAGGACTTTCACACTTACGTGGGCCATGATGGAAAAATCTGAAGTGGGGTTGATTTGGAGGAACGGCCTGTCCAATCTGAACCTAAGTAGTGTTCTGTTATTGGACTTCTGTGTCAGTCATGGATTGGCCATAATGAACACCATGTTTGAACATACGGTGGTTCATAATTGTACTTGGTACCAGAGCACCTTAGGCCAAAGGTTAATGATCGACAGCCATACCATCAGACCTGCAGCTGTATGTCTCAGACACTTCATTCGGTCACATGTAGGCAGAAGGACTGCTACAGCAGTCATGGAAGCAAAAACTTGATAGTGGCAGGAGTTTGGGTAGGCCATGGAGAAGGACTTTTTATTGGCCTCAGGGAAGTTTTGGAAAACTGTAAGCCATCTCCAAAGGCAGAGCTTTCCCAAGGCAAACAGCCTTGGGTCTTGGCAGAGAACTTCTGACCCGGGCTGGGGATATTGTCAATGGTGGAAGGAGTGCTTTAAGGACCTCCTAAACAATGCATCCTCTGCTGAGAAGGCAGAGTCCAAAGACTCAGGGGAAGCTTTGCCTCTTTCCATGGCAGAGGTCACAAGGCACTAGTTGTAGAAGAGATTCGCCCGGAGATGCTAAAGACTTGTGACACTATGGGGTTGTCTTGGCTGACACACCTCTTTAGTGTTGTGTGGAGATCAGACAGTGTCTGTGGAGTGGCAGACAGGGGTGATGGTCCCAATTTTCAAAAAGGACGAATAGAGAATGTTATCCAAATACTGGGGTATCACACTTCTCAGCCTCCTCAAGAATGTTTGCTACAGGTTGCAGGAAAAGAGGCTCCGACCAATTGTCAAACCTCAGATCCAGGAGGAGTAATGCAGATTCCATCCTGATAGAGGAACAGTGGACCAGCTTTTTACCCATGCAGAGTTGCTGAGAGGGTCCTGGGAGTTCAACAAGCCAGTCAACAAGTGTTTTGAGAAATGAGAACTGTGTTAGTGTCCTTGGGACAAAGTCATGCAAGTTTCCAGTAGGTGTTGGACTTGGCCAGGGTTGCCCCTGTCTCTGATCCTGTTTGTGATGTTCATGGATGAGATCTCAAGGTGCAGCTGGGCTGATAGGATGTCCATTTTTGGAATCTCAGAGTGGCATCTCTGCTGTTTGCAGATGATGTGGTTCTGTTGGCTTCATTGGACTGTGACCTTCAGCATGCACTGGGGCAGTTTGTAGCTGAGTGTGAAGCAGCCAGGATGCAAATCAGCACCTTCAATTTTGAGGTCATGGTTCTCTGCCAGAAACCAGTGGATTGGTCCCTCTGGGTTGGGAGTTAGCCGCTGCCTCAAGCGACGAAGTCTAGGTATCTCAGGACCTTGTTTACAAGTGATTGAAATTGTTGTGTGAGAAGCTGGCTTCTTTCAATTGCTCTGTATAATTCATTGATACCTAGTCTATGTAATCCACTTTAAATGATCAATTCTTTAGGAAACCTTACCTGAAAAAAATCTAGGCTTTTTTTGCTTATGTGAGATTGTCTCAGTGATACACATATTATTACTCCAAGCTGAGCTCATGCAGCTGTTTGTTGAAGCATGTATTTATTTCATAACCATATTTATTCATTTGAACAACTAAAACAGCAACAGTGCTTAACGCCGCTTAAAGCTCCACATGTCCTCCCTCTGTACCTGAAAGGACTCCTCCAGAGAAGCCTGTCCTGCCCTAGCAGCAGCACCTGACACTGCTCTCCTCTCTGTCTGCCTCATCCTAAATGCCTCATATTCTGTGTTGTGCTTTAACTTGAGGTGTTTCACAAGGTTAGTTGTGTTGCCAAAACTCCTTACCGCTTTTCCACAAACATCACAAACCATGTCTTGGCTGTTTGACTCCGTTTACACTCTGCCAGACTGACTGAGTGACTGAGCAGCATGCCGTGGCGCTTAGGCGTTACGCACTTGCCCGGGTGAAAGAAAAAGTAGTTCCCACCAACCGTTTGTCATTTAGTCCAGATCTCAAGAGTTTAGTTGCTTTCCACTGGGCTCCTGGTGCATTACCTCAAATAACTAACGTATCCACGGTATCGATATTTTGATTTGAGAATTGATTTTGAAGCATAAAGTTCTGGTATCAGAAGCATCCATATTTCAGTATTGATCCGCACATCACTAATGATCTGATAGAAGTGTCAGTAGTTGTGCTTGTGAACATGGGCATTGTTAAAAGTAGCAGTGCTTGTGCACATTTATTTTCACAGATTTTTATTAAGAACCAGGATTTTTTCCACAGTGCTGGGCGCCTCCTTTTCTGACTGGCTATTTCCCCAGCCTCAGAAAAAATGTCTAAAGCCTCATCCAGCCTTAGTTTTCCGGACACTGTGAGGGAGATAAATTCTAGAATTGTTATTACTACATCATTAACACTCATGTTGAGGTTTGAAATATAATACTACTACTACCACTGATAATAACAATAATATTCCTGATATTCTGCTAATGTCATGATGCTTATAAAATCTGAATATCCCAAATCACATCTTACCTTGGTCGATGTTATCAAGTTGAAACGCTCCCACACAGGGGACCGCTTTCTGCCACTTGAAATATTCGGCATACCTCGCAACATACAAATTCCTCTCTCAAAACCCACTGAAGCATCGTACGTAAGCACCAAAACGTTCAAGCTGTAAACCAAAGATAGACTTTGCGAAGCACCTGTGATGTCTGAAGCTTCGGATGTCATCAGTCATGTGACAACTGGCGCTTGATACAAGCTCTGACACTTAGAGTTGACAGGCGACAGTTCACTAGACTGGCACAAGCTTCGGGGCCCTGGTATCATTTGCCCATCTCTAGTTAGAACCTAAAATTATCAGTACGATTAATAATCTTTTCATTTTGCTGCCCTGCCACTGCGTTAGCCATGTAATAGACTAGCTCTCTGGTTCAGTATGTTCCTGCCTGCACCTGCACTCTGACCATCATGGGAGTCTCAGTCGGACCTCCAACTCTAATGATTGAAGAATGTACATCAGTAGCAACATCAGGCAGAAACAGACTGAACGAGCCACGGAAGAAACTAAAGTTGTACTTTCCACCACTGTGGCTAACGCAGTCGCTGCCTGTGCTGATTAAAGCAACAACAAACTAATAAATGATCATCATGCACTCGCACGAATGCAACCACTTACAATTTTAACTTGTGCATTTTGGTCGCAGTCTGGAGCCCTGATATATAGTATACCACGTTTAGGAAAGTCTCTGATTTGTGTCCACTGTCCTTTTTCAGTCTGCTCCTTGTGGCTCATGGTACTGTGCTGAAGATATGCGACTTTGGAACAGCTTGTGATATTCAGACCTACATGACCAACAACAAAGGCAGTGCAGCCTGGATGGCACCAGAGGTATTTGAAGGTCAGCCATGAACGGTATTCTTGGGTCTCATTCTGGAGCCTCTTCCAAGACTGATTAGATACATATTTTTTTTGCCACAATTGGTATATAGATCTCTAATTTTGTCTGAATGGCTTTTTTTTTTTTTTTTTTAATATTAGGTTTTAAGGATCACAAATGAGGAGAGCCACAACTACATTTTATTCTGATTGGCTTCACTCTCCAAAGATTGTGCTCGATTGACTAAAGTATTTCAGTAACTGTGTTGTTCATTCTCTGTCATTGGCTGGACGCCTATTTGTGTGGAACAGCTGTTAAAAAGACAGGAGTCCAGTGTTGTAGCTCACAGCATATGAGTTAATGACTGCACTCATTTTCATTTTCCTCGTCACCTAGTTCTTCTACTGCAGCAGTGGGATATACCCCTTTTCCTCTTGCATACAGTGTAAAAATAAGTTGTGTAGAAACTGATTCAGCCAGGTTGGTTGATATCTTGACAGCATTACACACTTAGCTTCACTTTTTCTTGCAATTTTGGTGTACATTCCTCAGGCAGCAACTACAGTGAAAAATGTGATGTCTTCAGTTGGGGCATTATCCTGTGGGAGGTCATCACACGCAAGAAACCCTTTGACGAGATTGGTGGCTCTGCATTCTGCATAATGTGGGCTGTTCACAGAGGTGAGTTAAATTCTGCCCCTACTGGGCCTAAAAGCTTGCTCATCCCACTGAGAATTAAAGGGGGGCTTCAATGATTTTACAAAAAGGTGTGTTTCCTGCTGTTGGAGAGTTCTGCAAACATGTTAAAAAATTGTATAAAACCTTTCTGGCCTTGCTGTGCGATGTAAGATCATTGTGCTCAAATTATGTCACTTCCTTACCAGACCAGCACAATGTTCAGGAGGGATTTTGGAGCAATTTTTTTTTTTTTTTTTTTACAGCTGTTTCAGCTCAGCTTTATTCTTAAGATGGCAGATATCAGTGACTCTCTTAAAGTCATCCCACAGTATCTCTGTTGGTCTGGGCCCTGGCTTGGCTGCTCCAAAGGTTGACTTCCTTGCCTAAAGTTATTCTGTTGTGGATTTACTTTGCCCTTAGGGATGGTGTCCTGCTGCATCATCAGAGTGACAGCAGGACATGATAAACTTGGAAAGTCATTTCTTCTTTGAGAATGGTAAGGTCTTTCAGCAGCCAGACGGTGGAAGAAGCCACAAAATCTCTGCATCCCACGTAAACAGGATAGACTTTCGCATTCCATCCTCATTGTGAAGCGTCTGCTGCCAGTTTTGTGTAGCGCAGTTTCTTGTGCTAATAGGCCTCTTTGGTTGAATTCTCCCATCGGACTGTGAGCACTGTGATGTACACAGACTTCAGTGAAGGGAACCAGACTACCAAGTCTGGCCTAAGGGTGGTGGCTGTGGCTAGCTGTCCAGTTTCTGGTTTGGTAGGTGGATGGTTGGGCTTTTTCCGTCCCTCTTCGATGAATGATGGGCCTCTGATAGAATTGCTTGCTCTCAGTAATAGTATTTTCCTTAGTATTTATTTGGATCTGTTGCAAATAATTAGATGATGACGAGCTGTGATAGAAGGAAGCATTTGCAGTGAGTCTCAGTTTTTGCAGAAAACATAAAGAAAAAAAAGCACCTCACTTTAGTCTTTAAAGTGAGAATGATTCAGCCAAATGAAAGCAATAGAATCAGCAGCTGCAGCGTGTGAGTCGTATTGTTTTACGTGTGTGTCAAGAAGTGGAGCCCTGTTACAGTGGCACAGTTTTAAAGAGGTTCTAAGGATAGTCCACAGCAGCGCCTGTTGGGACTGCATATTGAGAGTTCTTATGAACAGCCACTAACTAAGACTTCAAATCAACTCCAGGCCTTTTATCTCCTTAACTTGTCTTTCAAAGGGGACATTGGGGCAAGTTGCTTAAATGAATACAATCACTGGTGCGTGTGGTAGACGGAGGGCTGTAAAATGAAGCAAGCTTCGTGGGTTAGCGAGGTATGTTGACCTTAAAGCCAAGGTTTTTAATCTCACAGAGGTGGCTCTTTTTCACCATGGAAACTTTTGCTGCAGAGTTTGGAATTTAAATCAGCTGTCAGAAGCATCTCCTGATTTGTTGCCTCGTCAGTTTACACTGCTGGTGCTGCAGCTATTTGAGCACTAATTAGAAAATGTATTATTTTATTTGCATTTTTTACAGAGAAAATCCAATTATTAAGTGCGTGAGCGTCAGAACTAAATGCACTTCAATACAAAATCATGTTTAAATGTATGAATTTTAAAGTTTACCAACTTTAATGTTCAGCAGTCACATTAGAAATAAGCAGCTGCATGGATTGGTCAAATGAATTTATTAATGCATGATTACAAATTTTCTAGCAGCATTCTTCTCCTCGCATGTTTGTAGCAGCTGCACTTTTTACCGTCATAAATATTCCTTGTGGCTCTCCATTTAAACACCCTGTTAATTGAAGAAGGTAACACACAATTGATCGCTTGTGTGCAGAAAAAGAGTCACAAAAGAAATTAAGTGCCTTTTTATAGAAATGAGTACCCATTGTTGTCATACCCATTATCTGTGACTGGGGTTTTAGGTTTTGTGAAGCAGGCTTACATGAAGAAAGCATGGCTATTTCAACATTGCTTCATGCTACAGCCTTCAGGTGCAGTGTGACCAGACGATTTCACAGTATGTTGACCTCTCTGTGATAGTAAAAAAACTTTTGTTCTCCTCAGCAAAGCTTCATCAACAGCGCCCTAACTGACTGACTGCTTACTGTGACGCAGGTACACGACCTCCTCTGATCAGAGATCTGCCAGAGCCCATCGAGACTCTGATGACCCGCTGCTGGGACAAAGAACCCAGCCAGAGGCCATCTATGAATGAGGTCAAAAACACCATGAGCCACCTCATGAAGGTACAGTCCCACCACATAACTCCCTGTAAGTCCACAAACTGTCATTTTAGGTAGTTTGGACACACAATAAAGATATCTGTATAGAAAGAGGAACTCAGTGTGAAAATCAACCAAACAAAATTAACCAGTACTAAAGTTCTTCATAAAGCAAGTCAGAGCTAATAAAATCTAAGTTGAGTGGTGAGACATCAAACACTGACTAAATTAAGTTTTAGAAAATTAGTTGTAGGAGTGCTCTGTAATAAAAAGTCTTAATTCTATATGTAGATTGAGTCAGGTGCCCTTCGGTGTCAAACTGAGGGGAGAAAAAGAGCGGGAAGAACTCTTCCCACCAAAGCACTGCTGAGTTTAAAATGTCTCTGTTCTATTGGCATCTTTCAGCTGAATTACCCACATGTTGTTGAGGAAAGATTGGTGGCAAATTAAAGGAAAAGCTGTAAGTGGTAAGGCAATAATGTGCTGCCAGATCGGCTTTAAGTCTGTGGAACTCTACTGGAGCAAACTTCAAACAATCTGCAGGGTTGCTGCTGCTGCTGTTCTTTGCTGTGATCTCAACATGCACCACGTCTTAGCCTTCTTGAGTGTTGCAGTGATTTCTGTTTCGCATGCTGAAAGAAGTTTAAAGGAAGTAGTCAGTCAGGCACGATTAGTCTGTAATCTGAACTGGTTAACACAGTCTTTGTCTGTGGGCATGACTGTGTTACGTCCCTGTGCAACTCGGGGGATGAGGGGGGTAACAAGTGATACTCTGAAAACTGTGTTAAAGGCAGGGGAAACTCATTAGGTTTACACTTAAAGCAAAACTAAATTCAACAACGAAGCCAGTCAGTGGGTTGGGAGAGCGCCACTCGCACCCGGAAGCAGAGAAACCAAACAGCACACAAGCTTCTGATTTGGCCCACTGGCAACAATGATCAAGGTGGCCTTGCTTCTTAGCAGTGGCACTCCTGTTGCTTGTCAGGGCTTGTAACCTGAGGAAGAGACACAGACAGCCCTCCCCCCCATAAGAGCAAGCATCCATCCATACGTCATCTATACACCTTAAACCTCATTAGAGGGGCTGGAGTCTGTCCCAGCCGACTCCACAGTTAACATATTTCACAAAATTTGAATTAGTTCTAAAATGTTGTGATGTTGTTTTTACTGCCAACCAAAACTTTGTGAAAATGTTCCCTTCTAATGAGGCTTTATGAATCAGATTACACTGAGCTCTTTGTAAAAGTGCTGGGTGATATGTGCAAACTTTCCAGTACTTCCCAGGCTCTGATGAACCACTCAGCCTCCCTCACCAGTCTTCACCCAGCAAAAGTGGCTCATCATCAGCCACAAGCACAGGTAACTCTCAGCTCCACAGATCCCACTGATACATGGTTGTTTCTGTTAACTTTCTGAAAATGTGAAGTCAATGTGTTTTCTTCCAGTCTGGCACATCATTGCATGTTGTGTTTTCATGCTGTTTGCAGGCTCGTATGCTGACGGCACCATGAACAGTAACAGGAGTGATGACAACACAGAACGCAGAAACTCAGTTGGCAGAGACGAAACCCTTAAAAGCTTTGAGTCAAAATTCCCACTTCAGATAAAAACCTCAAAGGTAATATAACTTGTAAAACTGATAGAACAGGATCATATTTCATTACATATTTTATTAAACCCGACTTCATGATTTTCTCTCCACCCAGACTGCTGGACTCCGTACTGGTCTCTCCAAGGTGTCCAGTGTAGACAATCAGCCAGGGCGCGCCCAAAGCCCATCCTACTCCACCAGTCCTGTAAGAATGACTATGAGTCCAACAGGTAATGACCCTCATTACAAGTTTAACCATTGATACTGGAGCTGTCATCAGACCCAATCCCACTTGGCAAAATGTACTAATTTACGTGGTCAAATGCAGGGACGGAGAGAATAGCAGGGGAAGGGATTTAACATAAAGTACAAGAGCTAGCATGGCTAGCAGGCTAACAAAAGCAGTGCACAATGTGGTCAGTTATACAGTGTTTTATAAGACAATATAAAACATTTTTTTGTCACCTCCTTAACTGTGACATAGTCATTAATAGAGCATTTTGCTGTTTTTGCCAATACTGACAAACAGACCATTTTACTGTTAGTCCTGCATTGACATAAGACACGTGAAGACTGATCAACCTCTGAACTATCACTAGAAAATCAAAAGGATGTAAGAGTCTGTCCTGTGCCAATACAGGACAAACAGTAATATTCATCCATTTATGAGCCATGGGGAAAGGACAAATTGGACAACATTTTTCAATAGCAATGACTTTATAAGAGAACTAATTGAAATGCAGCATTTTACATTGCAGCACTTCAGCACCGTTCACAGTGCTTCCATCTAAAGGCCCTCACTAAGGCCTCATTCAGACATGCACTGTTGCTCACATCTCGACCCTGTTCCACAAAAGTCACAGCATCAGTCTCACAAGGTCAGACCCATTGATATTTTCAGATCACTGTCAACACAGCACAAGTCTGAACGGAACCTTGTCACATAAACAGACAGACCAACACAAAACCTTCACAAGGAGTTTGTCCTCTGTGCTTAATAAATTCCTGCAGCGTCAGGCAGCAGCAGACTCCACATAAGAGCTGCATGTGTCTGCAAACAGGAAACAACAGCGCTGCTAACCATATCCATTACTTGTAATTATTATAAATTATTCCCAGTATGGATGAAGGATCACCCTGGGTCAGGTTTTATTGGCAAGTCACGAGTCAAGTAAGCTGTCACACACAGAGATAAAGTTTGTTGCTCTCCGGTGTCCTTACTCCAATTGTATTAAATGTCTGCTGCAACAGCATGATCCATATGAGTGTCTACTAAAGGAGAGAGCTGCGTGCATTTCCACACAGAGCAACAGCAGTAACCTCATTATCCCGGGCCGACATGGAGAAAAGATCAATCATGATCTAACAGGAAGACATAATAGATTATCATCACACATAGACAGAGTTTTCCGTGTTTAGGAAATCATGAATATGCTAGACAGTTAATCATTTAAGATAATATAAGATATATCTTTATTAATCCTGAAGGTTGTTCTTGTATTTAGACAGTGTGATAAGATGCTCTTAGTGTAGATCTAGTCTTTTGTTTCTTATCGCAGTATGTCATACGTGCCCTGGTGTGTTGTCTGATCTAACATAAATGCCAAATATCACATACATACAGCGACTGCCTGCCTCGCTTAAAATGGCTTGGATGCAATGCTGTGCAGATTTAGGAACACCACCTGTCTTTTTATTCCCACTTGCTGTAGCCAAGCACCCCAGCTCACCTGTGACTGCTCAACACTGTGTGAAAAGGGTTTAAAATTGTAATGTTAACAAGAACTCATGTATGAATGAGCACTGATCACAGAGAAGACTGGTATTTGCCTAAATGGGCCATAAACATTTCTTTAATCCTTTAAGCCTTTTTGTTGTTGTGGTTGCATCCACCCCTTAATGAAAGTGCATACGACTGACCTTAATGAAATATCTGCCAAAGCTTCTTTTGCACAAGTTGAGTTCATGTTCGTGTTCCAGCCACACTAGGATGCTGCACACACTCAGAGCTTTGGATTCTGGCGTGCTGCCCACTATCCAATACACTGCAAGATACCAACATGTGTTTGTGCATGTGCATGTGCTTGCTCTGCTCGAGGCAGCTCTTTTACCAAGATAATGAAAGATATATGTGTGTCTTTAGCTACCAATGGATTCGACAGCTACATTCCCATGGATTGCCTAAAACTGGATCACCAGCTACAGGTATGTCAAAAACAGTGTTGTTTTTTTGACTGAAAACGTATGTGATCATTCATTTCTTTTTTTAACCTAAAATGAAACAGACCATGGACCTGCAGAATACTTTACTGTCACCTTATTGCCTATATTTAAAGCTGTGCACAGCAGCCAACAGGCTTCAGTCTTGACAAAACCAAGCCAGGGACCTTGACATAGTGAGTTTTATTTTCAGTTATAAATATGCAGTTTCATAGTTATGTTGAACCCTCTGACAGAACCAGGCTCCAGGAAGGCGGTCATCTGCCTTGACCAGTTGGGCTGAGTGGAGATGGGGGGATAGCAGAAGCCTGATTGGCTGATACTGGACTTCATCAGCAGTGTATAATGTTATCGTGACTCTACCAGCAGGACATATCCAACAGCAGCTAGAAGGCAAATCAACACAGCTGTTGCTAATAATATTAACAAAGCCTTGATGCATGTTCAAACATGTTGTAAAATGCCCCAAACCAAAATCAATAAGCTATGGAGTGTTTCGTGGGCTTCCGTACCATCCCAGCTAGCAGTGGTTTTAGAATCTATTTATACACTGTTGCCCATAAAGTTGGAATAATTCTTGTTTTCAGACACATTCCTCTTTTTATTTCTATTTACACATAGGTAATCACTTTGACCAGGTGCAATGATTTACATACTGAGTCTCAGTTACCAGGTGAAGTCTATTCTGACTTTGGGATCTGACTGAAGAATGAGACGTCCTGCCCATTGACACCATCAACAAGCTGTACAGTACACCACCATGTCTTAACGCATTGATCCATGTCAGAGGTGGCCATACTCAATAGAGTAGTATTGAACATTCACATGCATGAAATCCCCTCAAATATGTGTTTCCTGTTTTGTGACCAAGGTTGAAAAATTTAAACAAAACCCTAAATCCTATTGTGCAATACCCCCAATTTAATTAAAGCCTGATTACACAGTCTGACAAGGTTAGTTGTGATTACATTTTTACTGTGATATGTATTCTATATGCTGCAAGGTGGCGCAGTTGGTAGCACTGTTGCCTCGCAGCAAGAAGGTTGCCGGTTCGCGTCCCGGTGGGGGCACCGGAATCTTTCTGCGTGGAGTTTGCATGTTCTCCCCGTGCAGAGTGGGTTCTCTCCGGGTTCTCCGGCTTCCTCCCACACAGTCCAAAAACATGTTAAGGTTAATTGGTGATTGTAAATTGTCCGTAGGTGTGAATGTGAGTGTGCTTGGTTGTCTGTCTCTAAGTGTGGCCCTGCGATGGACTGGCAACCTGTCCAGGGTGTCCCCTGCCTTTGCCCTGAGTCGGCTGGGATAGGCTCCAGCCCCCCTGCGACCCTAATGAGGATTAAGCGGTGTATAGAAAATGGATGGATGGATGTATTCTATATATAGTGTGATATCCATAACGTTTTGAGAAGATGTACACTTGATCTATCAAGAATAAATCACACTGTCACAATCATTTCATGGGAAGAGGTAGAAAAAAAACAACTTTTTTCCAACTTTTTGGGCAACAATGTATATCTATACTATATAAATGACACTTTACGTATAATTATAGCAGAAGGTGCACTGGCATGCTGTGTGCTCAGTCACTAAGCTGTTGCTTTGCTTTCAGCCTCTGGCTCCATGTCCAAACTCCAAGGAGTCTATGGCTGTGTTTGAGCAGCACATCAGGGTGGCTCAGGAGTACCTTAAAGTCCAGTCAGAGATCGCTCACCTTGTTCAGACAAAGTAAGTAAAGCCACATATTGTATGCTATTACCTTTAACAGAACTGTATAAGTCTTTATGGATTTTGTAATAATAGGCAAATGATTTCAGCATGAATTCCAACTTAACTACCATTAAATCAATTTCCTTATCATTGATTTCCATTTGATCTTTGAAAGCAATATTTATTTTTGCAGGATCATTTTGGTAACTCCAACTCAAACAAGTGTTGCTGATTAACATGTAAATGAACAGTAGCAGACACACATTTCAGAACATTATACCTGTGCTAGCCTCACTAAAACGGGCCTTTAACTACCCAGTCAGCTACACAATACAATGAGACAGTGGCAAGGCATGGTGTGAGACAAAACTCCAGAGAAGCACGTCTTCTTTTAACCATTTGTTTTGCTTATTGCCTTGTCCAATTTAAATCTCATTCTTATTCTTCTTTGCAAAACTACAGTGACTTTCTTTTCGAATAAATGTAAACAGCATTGCATCAGTGGTAGATTGACTAAAATACCATAGTAGCAGGCTGAGCAAAAACAAAGTAACATGACTTATAAAATTATAGCAGTCAAACAGCACTGACCGAGTATTGACCTCACAGGAATCATGGAAATATATCTCTCTTTAGCAAATGCAAAGCTGGACACCACATGTAGCAGGCTATGCAGACTTGTTTCATCACAGGAGCAACATGTGGCAGAAAGCAGCACCTTTAGAAAACCTGAGTGGGAGTTAATTAAATGAGCAGTCAAAGATGCCAGGCTGCTGCAAATAAATCACATGAACAAATACTGTTATTCAAGGTTCAGTAAGACAATGACCAGACCTTTTGCCATTTTGTTTCTGTCCACTTGTTATTTAGAATATATAATCAGTTCCAGTCTGAATGAAATCATTTTATAAGTTGTTTCTTGGTGAGCTCTTTGCCTTACTCGAGTGCATGAGAAGATGCAGTATCAGTGAGGTGCAGTATGAATGGTGACAGGTCTTGCCTTGCTTTCATGAAATTTTAAAGGTCTTGGCAGAAACAGCTAAAAGCTGAAATCCATCACTATGATTGAAATATACTATTAGTATGTAATAAAGTTGAAAGCTGATGCCCATTACCTAAATTCAATTCAGTTTCAATTCAATTGTATTTGTATAGCGCAATTTTACAACACATTATCACAAAGTAAGGTATAGACTTTACAAATTTAAACAGAGAAACCAACAATCCAAACTTGCCTCTGGACTTCCTTTGAGCAAGCGTTTGGCAACGGTGGGAAGGAACCAAACCCCCCCAGCCCTCATCCCCAAAGTGAGGGGGGGAAAACCTCCAGCAGAACCAGGCTCAGGAAGGACGGCTATCTGCCTCCACCGGCTGGGTGAGAGTGGGACAGGGGGCTGGGGAAAAGGACAGCAGTTGGAGAGCAGAACAATAGATATGAATAGAAGTATTTTGGGGATCAGTGAGGCCAGTGGCTGGAGGTCAAGGACGTGAAGCTCCAGATCCAGAGACGACCTCGGGGGAAACACAGAGTTAGTGACATGTAATAGTGGTTATAACTGTTTGGACGGAAGAGAAAGGAGAGGAGAGGAGCTCAGTACATCATTAGAATCCCCCGGCAGTCTAATGCAATAGCAGCATACATAAGGGACAGTTCAGGTGATCCTGAGCAGCTCTAACAATAAGCTTTATCAAAGAGGAACGTTTTAAGCATGACCTTAAAGGTAGAGAGGGTGTCTGCCTCCTGAACCCAAAGTGGGAGCTGATTCCATCAGACAGGAACCTGATAGCTGATTAAATCGGCTGATTGTAGCCCTTTTCAAAATAATCATGATCGGCCAGAGTTTTGCTGACTAAATGCCGATACATCTTCATTTCTCATAAAACAGTAAATGCTGTTAAAAATCACAGTTGTGCAGAATGCTGTCTTTGTGCCGTTTGTCCACTAGATGGAGCTCTGACTCCATTCAGTCCTTCAGTCCTTCAGTCCTCACTGCTGTCTTCTCAGTAGTACAGGAGGAAGCTACAGCCGGGCAGCATTACAGGAGTGGGCTGAGCAGACCTCCCAACAGATACGTTCAGAACCACGTTGTGACATTAACAATGACTCAGCACGTCTCCTGTTTCACTTTAACTCTCTTTGCCATGTGTCATGTTGAGTGACGCTTGCTTTTTTGCGTCGGTCATGCTTTTCATTTACGTCACATTGCTAAAGTTGTGCTAACCTAGCTTAAGTTACTCCCTGTCTCTTTATGTTAGCAATAACATCGTTGTAGTTATGCCAACCTAGCATAGCGTTAGCTAGCAGCTTAACAGCCAGTAAGTAACTGCAGAAATAACCTAAGTGTACAAAATATTTGAGAGTCCAGAACGATCGCTCATCAGTCTGTCAGCTGCGTGTTGAGGCGCATTTAAGGAGGAGTGATGTGAATGCAGAGGGGAGGAGGTTTATTCAGTGCAGGCCCGAAAAGTTCAAATGATGAACATTGCTGTCTGTCTTTAGCAACCGTCATGATGTCATGTCACTCTTAGTTTGACTTTGTCAACTCACTATGTGTGTTGTTATGGAGTAACATTAGTGTCCTACTATTTGTGACCATTGTATATTTAAAATGCAACTCTGTCAAAGAGGACATGTTTGGACATCTGAGAAAGGCGTCTCTGGTTTTTATTTTGGTTCATATGAGTCATGACTTCATGGCAAAGAAAGTAATGGAGTAGAGAAAATGTGATTTAAGGTTAAAGGGCAGCAGAGAGCTGCATAAATAACGTTTTGCCAGTAACTTCACTCATTCTGTTGCTTATATACAGCATACATGCATATGGCCTAAATCTAAAGATAAATTCATCAGTACAACTGGCAGCTATATTCATGCATGTTCCATAGAAAGAAAACTGCACAATACAAATTCAAAATAAAATACCCCACATCACATATTTGTTCAGAAAACTTTTTTTTTTTTTTTTACTTATGCTTATTATGTTTAATGCTTTGTTGCATGTTTTGGCACTTGAAAATTCTTCTCTGTTGTAAAGTTACACAAATAGTGAAGGACAAGTATTGTAAAACAGTAAAATGTTGTGCATGTAATTCATATCTTTGTTGTTATAAGTGTTCAGGGACCAAAAAAGAAGCTATTTATTCAATATATATTTTGTTTAATTAATCGGCCGAATAATCGATTATCTGAATTTTTTTCTGCCAAATATCGGTATCAGCATCGCCCTACAAAATCCATATCAGTTGGGCCCTAGTATATTGTAACCCTGAGTGTTCTAGCATTCGCTGGAGAGCCTTTCTGTCCTGAGCTGTGCTGTTGCCGTACCACACGGTGATGGAGCTGCTCAGGACACTCTTGATTGTACTCCTGTAGAAGTTACACTGAATTTTGGCTGACATGCCAAACTTCCTCAGTCTTCTCAGAAAGTACAGCCACTGCTGGGCCTTCTTGATGATGTGATGTGTGTGATGATACAAGGTAAGATCCTTGCTGATGTGGACACCGAGGAACTTGAAGATTTTCACCCTCTCTACCTCAGTCTTGCCTATGTATTTAGGTGTGTGCTCCACCCTCTTCCTTGGATCAACAGTTGTTTGTTTGGTCTTCTCTGCATTAAGGGAAATATCATTGTCTGGACACCAGGTAGGTTTAACTGGGCTAATCAGTTGTTTAGATAACAGTATGTGTATAACACGTATATACACTACACGCCAGAAGTTTAGAAGCAACCTCAAGTTTCTGTTCACAATGCCTTTCTTAAGAACCAGTATGAATTTTATGGATTTTGGGATGTATTTACTGCATGATCAGCCTTTGCTTTCATTGATATGCACCATTTTCCTCAATTTACTTTTAGGTATACATTGATGGCACCAGACCACTGCTGAATAAATATTTAAAAACAAAATAAGGGCTTAGTTTTTGGGTTGAGAAGATTTGCAAAAGTCCCAGCTTCACTGCAAAAGTAAAAAACAAATCATAGTGTACATTATTCACTATAGCTCTTTGGCTTTTGAGAGTTTGCCTACAAAAATCCCACTAAATTTCACTTGGGTCCATAATTCTGACAAATGACCACAGAAATGGCTAGAATGAAACAGCTGAGCAAAGATAAGATAAGATTGAAGGTAAGATAGAACTTCATTGATCCTTTTTCAGGGGAATTGCTTTTACAGTTACATCCCGTCCAAGAAACATAAAAAGACAGTGACCAATAACAGGGGGAGACATCCATCCATCCATCCATCCATCCATCCATCTTCTTCCGCTTTATCTGGAGTCGGGTCGCTGAGGCAGCAGCCTTAGCAAAGCCGCCCAGACTTCCTGATCTGCACACACCTCCTCCAGCTCTTCCGGGGGACCCCTAGCCGATCCCAGGCCAGTCGAGAGACAAAATCCCTCCTGTGTGTCCTGGGTCTTCTCCGAGGCCTCCTCCAGGGGGAGGGGAAGGGGAGACAGGGGAGAACAGGGGGAGACAGGAGGGAGAAACTATCGGGTCAGCTAGCATGAGCAGCGCCCCTTATCATTAGATAGGAAAAGGAAAACAAGAGGAAAAACGAGGGAAAAAAGGCAATTCCAAACTAGGCTCCTCTGGGGGAGGCACAGTGTGGGATTAGGAAAAAAACACCTCGAAGACGTGTGGGAGGAGGAAGGATGCTGGGGAGGGGAGGTGTAGCAGCTCACACACTGAGGAGAGCCCCAGCCACGTAAGGTAGTAGTGCCATGATGGATGGATGGATGGATGGAT